GAGGCTGTCGCCGAGTTTGAGCATGAGGTTTTCTGACAGGTTGTACAGGATTCGGACGAGCAGGAGGAAGGAGAAGAGGCAGAGTAATGGCGGGGGTGGAGATGAGGAGGAGGAGTTGGTTTGGAGGAAGAGGATAATATTGGGGGAGAGGTGTAGAGTACCGAGCAGTGACGATGAGGACGAGGAGATGGTGGTTTATGATGATAAAGGGCACAAACAGAGGAATTATCATCCTAAGACTCCGAGATCGTTGCCCGTGTCGAGGACTAGCTCTTTTGCTGGTGCGGAGAGGAGCGCAAATGGGTCTTTCGTTCCTGCAAGAAGAAAGGAAGAAGGGAGCGATTTTCTTTTGATTAATAGCGATGCGTAATTACGTTGGAAATGTACATTGAGCGATATTTATATCTCCTTCGAACTGATTTCTTCAATGAGCATACGATCAAATTAGTTCCTCTAGCAATTTCGTGCAATTGGTTAGAAAATGAGCTTTAGCCTCTCGTTTAGGTAGAAAACTCTGTTTTTAACTGTTAGAATCATTTTTATTAGGATGACGCTCATCACCGCATCCAAAGGAAGTAGACACCATCATTTCAATCTCTTAGTAGTTCATTTTAAGATGACGACATGCATGCATTATTCACTTGTAAAAAAACATTTAAAGCTTATTAAAGTTAATTTTTGTAGCAGCTCTTTGCTGAAAAAAACGTATAATTCAACTTTTAATCGGAACCTGGAACTTTAGCGTCATTCTTCTGCCTCAAATCTTTTAGGAAACAAATACAATCCAAATTCACCGGATAAAGAACTCATCTTCATCTAGGCGAGAGCCATTCCACATGGTCTTCCCTTGATAAAAAAATAAAATAAAATAATGTGCATCTCTTTATGGAAGAATACAAAATAAATTTTTACAGGAAATCCATAGTTCCACGTTTACAAAAGGAAAATCAAGTAGAGATATGTACAAGGAAGACAAGTGACGTGCAAACAATTAGTAATTCATGCTCAATCTAACAGGAAACAAGAAGAAACATATTTCCATAAGAGCATCTCCACTCAAGCATAACTAAATACTGAAATTAAATAACATTAATTATTCAATATTTAGGACTTTGAATAATTAAAAAAAAATTATCATTCTACAAAGTCATCATCCAACGAGGAAACACGCAAATACACAGGCAGATTGCACGTACGCTTAAATATCCGACGTAATTTGTGGGTACAAGAAAGTGAAACAGCCAAAATTAAACAAGACTGATATCACAAAAGAGACGGAGCATGGCAAAATCCTACACCATTTACAAGCTGGATTTATCACTGACTTTTTACGACATAGATAATGCTTCAAAACAGACAGAGATGCCCTTCCTTATTGTGCACCATCTCTCGGAGATCAGCTTTCAGAAGAAATATTATTGTCACCATTCAACCTTCTCATCTTTGTCAAAACGGAGGCCTTCTATTCCTTTAAGTGCGGATTCGTAGTTCTTGATGTTAGATGAATGTTGTCTACCTGAAACGTGCATTTGATCTGAAGAACTCCTCTGAGCATTTGGAACCTTCCGGATACCCCCAGAGCTCTTCTCCATAGTAATGCGACTGCGTGATGTCAATGAAGGGTCTCTAGTATCAGTGTTGATCACCCCTGACATGTCTCGGCTTCCAGAAACAGCAGCTCTCTTGGACGAACTGCCAGACCGCCCCAAAAAAGTTGAACTGGATAACTACACGGGGAACATGCATTCATATGAGCCAAGAAATCACATGTTAGAATAGGTAAATTATCCATAATCATGTTGTTGCTGGAACTTCATTATCTGCAGAATTAGATATACAAGTTAAACAGAAGCGGTGAGAAATGGAGGCCTGAATATAGCATGAACACACATTAATGATCTCTATGGTTCTCCATGTTTTTTTTTCTTCTAATATTTCACTACATCTCTAAATGCAGGACAGTTCCCAAGTAAAAGTTGGCTTATGCTATTCACTAGGCATGACATGCATGTCATTTGTGTCCAACGCTTACAAGCATGTGAAGCTTTCTTCACCTCATCATTATGTATAGGGTAAGTGTGCCGGCACACTTTTTGATGACAGTAAGTTGTTTTATGGTAATTTTTATAATTTTATGTACTTTACTGTGTATATATACAAATGTATACATGTAAAACAAACAAATGCAACCATGTCCTTTTAGCCGGATATGAAGAATCATTGTGCCCACCACCCCATGGACATGTCAGAGTATGACGATTAACATCAATCTCTAATTATCATAACATTTTCTATCAATGTCAAAGTAGCAAGATGATATTTATTGTATGTCTCATTAATGTAGACATGAGACGGGGATCAGGGATGGGCAGTAGTAAAACCACACACACCTGCCAGAAACCACTTGCTAGAAAAAGCACCTCAGGTGTGGGTTAACTTACCAAACCACAAACTGCTAATGTTAGGGGCTGTTTGGTTGTATGTTTTTACCATGTAAAATGATGGAAAGTGTAAAAAAGTGGCTCCCAATGTCAGCTTTCATCACTTTACATTGTTTGTTTAAATTCTCTTTTACATGAAAAGCTTACACCTTTTGATGAGGTGTCACCGAAAGCAAAATCACCAAAATTAGGAGTGATTTTGTTGGAAAGCTTACACAATGTCATAAATGTGTCCAAAAAAATATTAAAAAAGTTAAAATCTTGTAGAAAGTGGTGAGGTGGATAACCACTTTCCATTTTGTGTCATAAATACTCTAGTTTACATTATATTATCCAAATAATGTAATACTATTATTTTAGGATTCACAAAGATTCCTAACCAAACAATGTAAACACTCGAATGAAAAGTGATGAGGTGGATAACCACTTTCTATTTTGTGTCATAAATACTCTAGTTTCCTAAAGGCATCCAAACAGCCCCTAACCCACGACCTGAGCAATTGAGAACCTAATTAATGATTTTTAATTGTGTCACTTGTTGACAAAACCCTTTTTACTGGAAACACAATTGAGGACCGCCAACTCGCCAGGTCGTCCTAAACTTAAAAAGTGATCCTTATTAATATTCTCAATTTATTTCTATAACATTAAAGTAACAATAAAAGACGTGGCGTATGCCTCATATCCATGCTTAGGTGATCAAATGGAACATTCTGACTAACTTTTAGCTGACGTGATCAAAATACTAATTGCATAAAATAAAAATGTTTGGAGTCAAAGTCGTAGGTGTATAGAACAAGTCTGAAAACAACATAGGATAAGAAATACGTAAAGAGTTGCTCGCGTCAAAACAGGCAATCTCAACGAAAACACACGACAAACGAATAAAAAGGAAAAGAGATGGATTTGGTAACGAATTAATAATCACCTCGGACTTCCTCTAGAACTGAACATGACTAAATTTAGCAACTCTGCTCTCGATCAATTAGGCACCAACTGAACCACGCACATCCACACAAAACACTCACACGCACCCCCTCTCTCTTCCTCATTCCCTCCTGTTCCGGATCAAATTCAGACACCAACTATTGACCAAATTTTAACAACAACCTCTCTCAAATTCTGCTCATTTTCTTCTCATAAAATTAATCATTAATAATAATGGGAAGAAGCCTACCATCTTCAAGAACCACCCTCTCAACAACCCCACCACCTCCCCTCCCTCTTCTCGCGGCCGCCATCGCTGCTTCCATCGCCATCCTCTTCACCCTCTGCGTCTCCCACCATCGAAAATCTACTCAATCTCCATCTCCCACATCACCCTCATCAACTCATTCAATAGAAAAACAAAATCCTACTCAAGTTATCAAGATATCATCGCCACCTCCGCCTCCTCCACCTCCTCCGCCACCTGCTCAACCTCCAGCTGCCTCTGTGTTATCATCGCCTTCGAGACAACGACAGAGGCTGTCGCCGAGTTTGAGCATGAGGTTTTCTGACAGGTTGTACAGGATTCGGACGAGCAGGAGGAAGGAGAAGAGGCAGAGTAATGGCGGGGGTGGAGATGAGGAGGAGGAGTTGGTTTGGAGGAAGAGGATAATATTGGGGGAGAGGTGTAGAGTACCGAGCAGTGACGATGAGGACGAGGAGATGGTGGTTTATGATGATAAAGGGCACAAACAGAGGAATTATCATCCTAAGACTCCGAGATCGTTGCCCGTGTCGAGGACTAGCTCTTTTGCTGGTGCGGAGAGGAGCGCAAATGGGTCTTTCGTTCCTGCAAGAAGAAAGGAAGAAGGGAGCGATTTTCTTTTGATTAATAGCGATGCGTAATTACGTTGGAAATGTACATTGAGCGATATTTATATCTCCTTCGAACTGATTTCTTCAATGAGCATACGATCAAATTAGTTCCTCTAGCAATTTCGTGCAATTGGTTAGAAAATGAGCTTTAGCCTCTCGTTTAGGTAGAAAACTCTGTTTTTAACTGTTAGAATCATTTTTATTAGGATGACGCTCATCACCGCATCCAAAGGAAGTAGACACCATCATTTCAATCTCTTAGTAGTTCATTTTAAGATGACGACATGCATGCATTATTCACTTGTAAAAAAACATTTAAAGCTTATTAAAGTTAATTTTTGTAGCAGCTCTTTGCTGAAAAAAACGTATAATTCAACTTTTAATCGGAACCTGGAACTTTAGCGTCATTCTTCTGCCTCAAATCTTTTAGGAAACAAATACAATCCAAATTCACCGGATAAAGAACTCATCTTCATCTAGGCGAGAGCCATTCCACATGGTCTTCCCTTGATAAAAAAATAAAATAAAATAATGTGCATCTCTTTATGGAAGAATACAAAATAAATTTTTACAGGAAATCCATAGTTCCACGTTTACAAAAGGAAAATCAAGTAGAGATATGTACAAGGAAGACAAGTGACGTGCAAACAATTAGTAATTCATGCTCAATCTAACAGGAAACAAGAAGAAACATATTTCCATAAGAGCATCTCCACTCAAGCATAACTAAATACTGAAATTAAATAACATTAATTATTCAATATTTAGGACTTTGAATAATTAAAAAAAAATTATCATTCTACAAAGTCATCATCCAACGAGGAAACACGCAAATACACAGGCAGATTGCACGTACGCTTAAATATCCGACGTAATTTGTGGGTACAAGAAAGTGAAACAGCCAAAATTAAACAAGACTGATATCACAAAAGAGACGGAGCATGGCAAAATCCTACACCATTTACAAGCTGGATTTATCACTGACTTTTTACGACATAGATAATGCTTCAAAACAGACAGAGATGCCCTTCCTTATTGTGCACCATCTCTCGGAGATCAGCTTTCAGAAGAAATATTATTGTCACCATTCAACCTTCTCATCTTTGTCAAAACGGAGGCCTTCTATTCCTTTAAGTGCGGATTCGTAGTTCTTGATGTTAGATGAATGTTGTCTACCTGAAACGTGCATTTGATCTGAAGAACTCCTCTGAGCATTTGGAACCTTCCGGATACCCCCAGAGCTCTTCTCCATAGTAATGCGACTGCGTGATGTCAATGAAGGGTCTCTAGTATCAGTGTTGATCACCCCTGACATGTCTCGGCTTCCAGAAACAGCAGCTCTCTTGGACGAACTGCCAGACCGCCCCAAAAAAGTTGAACTGGATAACTACACGGGGAACATGCATTCATATGAGCCAAGAAATCACATGTTAGAATAGGTAAATTATCCATAATCATGTTGTTGCTGGAACTTCATTATCTGCAGAATTAGATATACAAGTTAAACAGAAGCGGTGAGAAATGGAGGCCTGAATATAGCATGAACACACATTAATGATCTCTATGGTTCTCCATGTTTTTTTTTCTTCTAATATTTCACTACATCTCTAAATGCAGGACAGTTCCCAAGTAAAAGTTGGCTTATGCTATTCACTAGGCATGACATGCATGTCATTTGTGTCCAACGCTTACAAGCATGTGAAGCTTTCTTCACCTCATCATTATGTATAGGGTAAGTGTGCCGGCACACTTTTTGATGACAGTAAGTTGTTTTATGGTAATTTTTATAATTTTATGTACTTTACTGTGTATATATACAAATGTATACATGTAAAACAAACAAATGCAACCATGTCCTTTTAGCCGGATATGAAGAATCATTGTGCCCACCACCCCATGGACATGTCAGAGTATGACGATTAACATCAATCTCTAATTATCATAACATTTTCTATCAATGTCAAAGTAGCAAGATGATATTTATTGTATGTCTCATTAATGTAGACATGAGACGGGGATCAGGGATGGGCAGTAGTAAAACCACACACACCTGCCAGAAACCACTTGCTAGAAAAAGCACCTCAGGTGTGGGTTAACTTACCAAACCACAAACTGCTAATGTTTATGTATGATCAGGAAGGTTTGAACCGCATCCTGCATGCCACAGATGGGCAGCTTGACAGGATTAGCAATGTTTAGTGTGGTTTTTTGGCTGAGCAAACCACAACAAGCTTCAACTTATAGTACTAAGGTGAAAGGTAAATAATCTATTGACCTATATCTATGTGTAAATGACAACCAAAGACCTACAGCACAAATTTAAATATACCTTTTTGCAAAACACATGTACATACAACAACCTCCACATGTTCTATAATTGCTTGCATTAGCAGAGAAGCAAATATTGTTTTCGTGTAGCAGTAGGATGTTTTCGTGTAGCAGTTGGATGGACAAATCCTTAGATTTTAACGTTCTTGGGGAGCATTTTTCTTTGAAGAAATTTGCTTCGCACTTGAGGGCTATTGCAGATCTTTGCTTTTGAGTGGTGACAACAGCCGGAAATCTGGTTCTTCATTTTGCTGCTGGGGACTTAGGGTTTTGAGGGTTATAAATCAAGAAGATGAAAAGAGAACATACAATTTACAGGTTTTGGACTCAGGATGTGAGGATCTGGACATTTAGGATTAGGGTTTCATGTTGCATCAAGAGTGTAGATCATCCACTCAAAGTGCTCCATGTACTGTCCCTCCTGTTGGTATTCCTGTGGAAGTATATTCTGCAACTCCGAGAGAGGTTCCAGGTTGATACTCATCTCCAATAATGAAGAAGCAGTGAAGGAAGATGCACAAGTTATGACTAAAGACAATTGACAAGACACAAGTTGATAACATACAAATGCTTTCCAACCAAACGAAATTGATAAGGGACCGGAAGAAAGGAAAGATTCATGGAGGTATTACCAAGCACTGTTGTTAATCAAAATCTGCAATCTTTCCATTAATCGAGATAGGATCAGAAGGACTTACAGCTAGTTAATTGGTCCATCATCATGCATGACAGTTACAAAATCCAAGCGTTTTAGCTTTATCTTAAGTAAATAGCAATATCAAAGTTCAGAGTTATGGAATTTCAAGTCTTATCATGTTTTTATCATGTGATCAGAGTTTACACAGGTTTACTTTGACAGAAAATGAGAGTGAAGGACACGGTTATAGCTGTTTAGGGTGAGTTCCTTCATAAAGTTTTTTTCTTCTATCTCCTCAACCGTCGTTTCTCCCTGTTCTAGTACTCTACTTTCACTTTTCTGCATTGTTATTCCTTTAACCAATCAAACAGCCAATAATAAACCTAAAATCTGGAGCAACGGGACTAAAATATGGAAGTCAGTAGAGTTTTCTGTGTTATTCACACAAAATATGTATTGCAGTGTTGTTGCATGTGATGAGAGAACGAAAGTGGAATAATCACCAGCACTCAATCAAGCAGAGAATTTGGCCATGTGTGGGCGCAGACAGAGTAGGTGTCGCGCCTAGGAGGCATTGTGATGTTTGCATGAATAGATATCAGCAACCGGTAGTTGAAAGAGATGGGAAACAAATTTCCTTGCGAGACTAGCAGGTTTGCTGTCATGAACCATAGCAAAATACCAAATCGCCTATCCAAGTTTTCTGTTCCCTTCTACTATTTCTTACCTCTGGCTCTATGATATGTCGTGGAAGATTTCGATATTAGTTCTCACACTACCAAAAGAGCTCTCTTGGTGTGTAGGCTTATTAAGTACCATATATCTTGTTTGATTTAAGCTGATATTTATTACTTATGAGTGTATTTTAAATTAATTAGGACATAATTTCATGCTTAGCAGTAAGAACAAAGAATTTTGATTCAAATCTTTACAGATATGGATCGGCCTTAATTGATTATTCTCCTGTAGGATTCACTCTCAGAATAAGTTTCTTATGGGAATCAAATTCAGATGTCGCATAGATCCACTGAAGCTGACTTATCACAGGTTAAAAACGATGACATATAGAACTATTGACTCACCACAGCTTCTTTTGAATCATTTGTTACCGGTGTCTTCTGTTTTAATAAGCTGCCTGCATTTACAGCTGGTCCTGACGCACGGCGACGAGAAGGGTCTGTTGACCAACCACTTGTTCGCCCTTCTTCAACACCTAAATTAAAGTTTTCAAGTAGGAAATTTAGTAATTGTTAGTCAGGAAAAGGTATTTGGCAGAAGTTAATAAAAATGAAGATATTATAAACACATTTTATCTATAGTAGGTCTATGTACAAATGACCATGTTAATGAGACACAAGAACTGTGTGGTACAGAAGCACTTGGTCTGGAAACAGCTAAAACACGTAATGGAGCAAGCATGGAAGAGGATTTTTTTTAATCAAAAAGAAAGTGAAACATGATTTATTCTATAACATAAATAGATGTAAAAAACTTAACAGAAGACTACCAAAGGAACAATTAGCAAAGTTAATTACCAGGTTGCCTATCGACATTACCAAGAGCTGGTGCCAACCCAGAGCTAGGTCCTGCACCAGAACCCTATACAAAAGATAAAAAATGAGCAAATTGTCACTATGATAGAGAAAAAGAATTCAAAACAAATGAATACCTATCTGCAGGAAATTAAACCTATATATGCATGACTTACAAGAGGTCGTGGAGGAGTGCTAGCAATTTGTGATTGCTGATACTTCAATATGGTCCAATCAAACACATAATCAAATTGAAATCCTGTAGATTAAGATTCAACATCAGTCACCATCTTGCTTGAGAATTACAGATATCTAACCCTACCATCAGCACAGAATGCCCCGTCAACATGAACAGTGTGAGTTACGAGAATAACTTACCCTCGCGAATAAAAAGGTCACGGAATATTCTTTTAAGATATGAATAATCAGGTTTGTCATCAAAACGTAGTGAACGGCAGTAATGGAAGTAGGATGCAAATTCTGTAGGATATCCACGACATAATGCCTGATGATAATATATCAATGTTGTCATGATAAAAAAAAAATATCTATTTAGTCATTATTAAGAAAAGTAAGAAAAGATGCCATCAAGGCTCCCAACTTCATTATGTGAATAAGATCCTACCTCAATAGAGGTGGAAACTTTTCTTTCACTAATTTTTTCATATTTCTGCTTCTTTGTTCCAGCTTTTAGACCTTGCCAGGGAAGACTGGAAACAACAAGAAAAACAAACTTTTCGTTACACCATACTATGGACAAAACTACTAAAAATGAAGTTGAGATAGACACCAGACCTTCCTCGTAAAAAATACATGAGAACAAATCCAAGAGATTCCAGGTCATCCCTCCTGCTTTGTTCTTAAGATTCCAATGTACATAAGTCAAGTATATAAAATATAATAAGTATCTGCCAACCTCACCAAGGTGTAAAAAGAAAACTAAAATATGTTAAGAAGTGTTTTAAGAAATAAATATGAGAGTACATACCTATACCAAGGTGGGTGTTCATGCTTGCATACCTTGCAGTCCCAGTCAAGTTCTTATTCTCTCTGCAACACATGAATTTAGGTAAACAAACACATGCATAAAGGCACATGTACAAGCTTTTTTTTGGGTAGCAATATACAATCAATCCATAAAATGTACACAAAAACACAGAAGATAGTATGTGTGGCACGCACATACATAAAAGCAATTTGGTATTGCTCCAAATATATTGTGCCTGCCAATTGCATGAAATGGGAAATAAAATATAACTAAAAGAAAATTTAGCACAAATATTATACAATCATTTAGGACCACTTGGCTTTGCACTAAACACAGATTGTAATTGAATGCTTAAAATGCTATTAAAATTTACAATATAAACTGCAATGTCTAATTGTAAGCTATTTGCACAAGAAACAAATCTGCAATCAAACATTTTAAATACCTATAAGGTATGTGTTGGTGCGTTGAAGTATCCCTATACTTCTTAGCAAGGCCAAAATCTATAATGTAAACCTATATGAAAGTGCAAAAAATAAATGGTCAAAAGTATATACCTTTAATCACAAACGAAAGGAAACAAGAGAGTACACTTAACTTTACAAAACTAGAGATACCTGATTTGCTCGTCTGCCCAATCCCATTAGGAAATTGTCTGGTTTGATATCCCTATGCAAAAAAGACTTCGCATGAACAAATTCAACCCGGTTGATCTGTCAAAGAAAGTCCAGAAATAACGAAATTACAATCAGTTATGCATAGAATCAAAAGCAATTGAGGCATGTAAAACTTACCATTTGATCGGCCAACATAAGAACGGTCTTTAGTGACAGCTTTCTACTGCAGAAATTGAAAAGGTCTTCAAGACTGGGTCCCAGTAAATCCATTACAAGGACATTATAGTCGCCTTCAACACCAAACCACTTCACATTTGGAATCCCAGCTGCCATAGTAAAGAAAAAGGACCAGAAATTAGAACACAACTTAGAAATGTCACTGATAACTAACTGGCATAACAAAAGGCTAAAAAAATCATACTTCCTCCTTGCAGGATTCTGTACAGCTTTGACTCATATAGCAATTGGGGATGCTTTGTCTTAATTCCTCCTTGCAGGATTCTGTACAGCTTTGACTCATATAGCAATTGGGGATGCTTTGTCTTAACATTTTCCTGAAGAGAAGTATTAACTGTACAGCTTTGACTCATATAGCAATTGGGGATGCTTTGTCTTAACATTTTCCTGAAGAGAAGTATTAACCATTGCCATCACTATTGTGAAAGGATCAGAAGTAAAGACGCTTAAAGAATCAAACAATATCTTCTGAAAGGCATGGATTGCACAACACGCGTGTGCGTGCCTACGCGCACACACACACACATTTCTACCATGGATGGATGTGGATATCCTATTACACAAAAGAAGTGGACATCATCTCCGCTCTTTTTGAAACGATATCATGTCCCCTTATTTATTTCTTAACTATTGGATTAGGAACCCAATGATTATAATAGCGTGAGGAGAGACAATCTCCTCTCAAAAACAATAGAAAATATCATCAAATTCATAGTAGGTAGTATAAACTAATAACACGGAAAAGGAAGGACTATGCTATAGAGACAAATACAGCATTTAACTTCTGATGCCTTCACAATAACGTTAATTGCAGCACTAATTTTATAGCACTCACTGTCTTAGTTTATGGCTCAAAGATGAGCTTAATCACCATATTGAATCATATCTTATTTGTTTTTCTAAACACCTTCCAAAAATACAGGATTATGAACTTAATCACAATACAAATCACATCAACAATGATTCCCTCTTGCTCCCTTGGTCAAGAATCTGGTACTAATTCATAATCCTGTGTCATGTTAATACTCAAGGTTTGAAGCATCAGTGTCAGATTGGATTCTTATCATGCTGAAATAACCCAATTGGAAATGAAAAACGAAATATTTGCTAACCATGATAACTTATGTTGATGGTATCTAATAACATCTGGTAAGGGAAGATATCCAAAGATTGAACTGCAAAAGTTGATTTGATAATGTTGCATTAGAAAAAAGTAAAAAAAGGATAACAAAACTTTAAACAAAGCTTGTATTAAAACTTTGATTTACTCCATGTACTGATGATTTCAATCTGAACATATTGAACCAATAATAGGCAAGTTGAGACCATGATCAATACCGATGTTTAACAACTCCGGTTGATGATGATTTTCTTGAGAGATTCAACTGTGGGAAGAAATGTTTCCTAGTGTTTCATTCAAAAGGATTTAGCAGAAAATAGGTATCCTGACCCACCAAGAGGAGATAGTAGCTCCTTGCTTGAAATGTATAATTCTACTAATTGTTAAAGGCACCAGGTCGACACGTTTGTATATTTGTGGGCAGCCATGTGAATTGATAATAATGTTCTATCTCTTCTTTCTCTTTCTTTGATCCAATATGAGCTTATTCTTGTACTTATAGTATATATGACTATAAGACTATACTTCAGAACCAATGGCTAATTGTATTGCTTATGCTCACATATATCTCAATTGAACAAATTAAGCATGTTTTTGCAGCTCAAATTGCAAAGGATTGTCCAAAATAGGGAGAAATTTTATAAACAAAAAAAAAAAAAAAATCAAAATCCAAAACCATCAAGAGATGATAATACTCACAAGTTTAACTCCGACCTCCTCGTTCGTCTGTATATTAGTACCTAAAATCAAATCAGGCAGCACAAAAACCATCAGGAACCAATAAAAATCCAATCTTTCTATTAGAAATGGATGAACAAAAAGGTCAAACCTAGATAGATCTCCCCAAACGATCCGCTCCCGATCTTCTTCCCGAGCTTGAACTTGTTCCCCACGCGGGGCTCCATCAAAATCACCCCCAAATTCTAACCCTAACCCTAAAAGTCAAAAAAAAAATGGAGGAAAATAGGATAAATTCTAGCTCGATCTTGCGAATTGATAGCTATTCATCCCAGAACGTAGAGCTCAAGGGAAGGGATCAGAGGGTCGCTCATCGATGGAGTTTGGATCGAGATTTTGCAATTATTCTCTTTATTTTCTCTTCCTTTTTTCTTTCTTCTAAGGACGCACGCTTCTCTTCTCCAATGGAAAACAACGGTTTCAATAGTGGATGGATGTAAGAAGGGTGTATTATTCTATTTTTCAATCTCTATGTTTTTTTATTTTTATTATTATTATTTTTACCATTTTTTGTATAAAAATTAGGATGAAGGCGAGATTGTCGCCTCCTATGACAAGTGAGATGAAAGTCGAAGTAGACCGTGTCAGGGCCCAAATATGTACGTGCCGTTTCGGACATAATTTCTCTATAGAGAAATTTTCGACATTTGAAGAAATCCACTTGGCTTCCCCATTTACATTTATGACCCGTGCTCTGATCAATTTACTTCTTTACTAGATGCAATACATCTGGATAAATATCATAATAATTATTTATTTATTTATTTTCTTCCTATAACTAGTAAAAGTAAGCCAGCCCTAATAATAGGCGCATAGAAACGTTTGGGCTGGTGCCTAACGGTTCAAACCGTTGGGGCAAGTATGTTTAGCCTACACACACTGGAGAGGGAAATTTCTCCCCCAATTATTTTCGAGAAAAAGAAAAAGAAAACCCAACGGAAACCCCAAACTCTCTCTCTCTCTTATCAAAAAACCCCAAATTAATCTCGTGCGCATTGTCTCCCCCCACCAACCCACCAACTCTGAACTCGCCGCTGCCGTCGGAGGTCGCTGCAGTTTGCCGCCACCGTCGACCTTTTAGTTTGCCGCCGAGTCCCCCTCAAAAAACCTAGTTCTTCCTCCCCAAATCGGACCTCGTCGCCTCTCCTGCTCCTCATTTTCACCGGACGCGTGACTTATAAGTCATCTACCTCAAAACCCTAACCCTAATTGGGGTATTTTTAGAAAATAGATATGGATATCCCAAAGATTCTCTAGCTTAATTTGGTTATAAACATCTGAGAAATTATTACTCTTCTTCATTTTTCATTTCTGATGCTTGTGCCTCATTTTGCTTGGGTGTATTTCTAATTTTTTAGATTAGATAAACAAGGGCTCAAATCCTCAATTTGGTTACCTAGCATAATTTTTCATATTGTATTAGCGAGCATGATTGTCACTGTGCATCGTATTGTTTAATTGATGGGGATGTTGTGCGCCTTTGCGGAAGTGTGCTCGCACACCGACAAGTCCGTAAGCACGGAAGAATATTAACAAACCCAACACGGGTACAATCCAACAAATTAAATATGGCAAACAAATCACAAACACATATATTTTACGTGGTTCGGCAAATTGCCTACGTCCACGGGAGCGGCACAAATAATTTCTTATTTCTCACAAGAAATTACAAATTAAGAGAGAAGATCTCAAGCTTGAGATCTCTCCAAACAATAACAGTGTTTTAAGTTAAAACATTGTTCAATCTCTCTCTTAAATACTCAACTTCCCCTCTTTAAATACACCAAATCCCTTTCCCATAACAATGAGAACGGGACAAATAGGGAACTCAAAAATCACAGAAAAGGAAAAAACGCCGCCGCTGCTTTCTTTTTCTTCTGCTCCTCTCCGCTCTGCCGCGCTCGAGAACGAGTGTTTCCCTTTTATAGGGAAACCTTAGGGCGAGCTCCTCCTCCAGCTGGCACCATCTGGCCTCCACTCGCAGGAGAGCTCCACGCTCCCAACAGGAGAGCTCGAACAGGCGAGCCCCATCAGGCGACTCCCCCTTGCCTCGCCACGCCCACCTGCATGCAAGATCCACACATGCGACATTCCACCCACGTCAGGCGAGCTCGATCCTCGCCTCCGACTTCGAATCGAGGTCAGTTCTTCAGGGGAAACCTAGAAGAAGCTCGAATTGGATAGTATCTAATCCTGGGGGTTAAAGCATGGATGCATGTACTCTAAAGTTCCCAAGAGTTGGCAAATATTATTCTTAAAACTGAGGTACCCCTATGGATAACATGATACGGTTGGTTATTAAGGAATTGGATAGCTTAGGTCTAACGGCATGTGAACAAGGGGTGAAATCGTTTGAAGAGAATATTTAATTGTTCATGTGAACAAGTGGAGATAAGTTTCATGGGGACTAAAAGATTTTCAACTCTACTCTTTGTTCTTGTGCCTGTATCATTACTCTTAGCTATGTTTGCAAGTTGGTTTTATTACATCTAGCTAAGTTTTTCCTTATTGAATTTTATCATTTGAAGTTCTAGTACTTGATGCATATTTTTGTAAGTCAAGTTCATGAATACTTATGTCTTGGATATTTAGATTGGTTTTCTGTACTTGAACCAAGAAATTGATTTAAGCTTATGAGTTGTTACATGAGAAGTAGTAGAATTATATCTTGAAAGATGATAATATTTGTCGTACTTAAATATCATTATAAGTGAAAAACTTTGATATATAAGGTATGGAATGGTTAGTCACAAACTTTCCATTTAGATCGTTAAGTTTACTAAGTCTAGGTGTAGTGCCTAATATGTAGTAGTTGAAGGGATAATAGTATTTTCTTTATTCCATCCTAACACAGGTTTTGCTTCATCATTCATCATTAGTCTTAATGTGGTTGAAGTGTTGTTATTAGGTGTCGTGTTAAACTTATTTTAATGCTAATAGTGAGAAAAATATTTCTTCATTTTGATGTTCCCCATGTTAAGCTTTTTCCTTGTAACTCTAATTACAAATTAGTCATTGATTTGCTATAAGCAAATTGCACAACACGATCCATGGAGTGCATAAGTTTTGGGTGCGTAATATATGAAACAGGATAAGCAAGACTAGATAGTAGATAGTCATGGTTCTTCACATTTAAAATATGTACCAAACTATATGGTTTTTATAATTTTTTGAAAATTAATGCAAGCGTGCTTAATTTAGGGGTTATTATTACTAACTCAGTCTTGGTTAGGTTATCATGGCCCGTGACTATATCAGGGTTAAGAACTGGATATATGTGAATCATGAAAAATGCATAAAGCCTGAGTTCATTGAAGGAGTTGCTTCTTTTATGAACTTCGTACTTGAACACGATAGGATCCAACATGGCATGATTCTTTGTCCGTGTAGCCATTGTGGGAATAGTTTGCATCGTAAGGAAGAAGATGTAGAACTTCACATTGTTAAGTATGGTTTTATTAGAGGTTATACAAATTGGGTATATCACGGAGAAATTCTAACTCCTATTATTACCGAAGAAGAAGAAGAAGAAGAGGAAGATGTTGACGATATTAACTTGTTTCTGGAAGAGGAGATGGAGGAAATGGTAGAGGTTGTTTTTGGTGACCCTAATCATGTTGAAGATAGTTCTCCCAGACAAGAACAATATGTAGATGAGTATGAGAAGTACATGAACGATGCTAGGAGACTGGTTTATGAGAATGCAAAACATTCCATGCTATCATAGTTCATTCAACATTTCCAGATTAAGTGCCTAAACAAATGGAGCAACAAGTCATTCATGATGCTTCTAAAATTACTGAAAGATTCTATGCCTCTTGGGAACAATGTCCCTCATAGCTGGTATGAAGCTCAAAAGATAATATCTAATCTGGGTTTAAATTGTGAGAAGATTCATGTATGTCCCAATGATTGTGTACTGTACTAGAAAGAAAACTCTTATAAGAAAGAGAGTGTCCTACTTGTGGGGTGTCCAGATATAAGAAGAAAGCACATACTAGCAAGAATGACATGCCTCTCAAGGTAGTATGATACTTTCCTATTATACAGAGGCGGCAGAGACTTTACAAGTATAAGAAGACAGTGGTGGCAATGACTTGGCATGATCGTGCTCTTCCAGGCGAAGATGGCAATATGAGTCATCCGAGAGATTCACCCGCATGGAAGAATTTCAACAAGTTACATCCAATATTCAGTCAGGATCTTCGTAATATTAGGCTCAGACTAGCTAGTGATGGTTTTTACCCCTTTAGTTTTAATGGTAATACACACAGCACATGGCCAGTTGTAATGATGATTTATAATTTCTCACCGTGATTGACTATAGATCAATCATATTTTATGATGCCTCTTCTGATTAATGGACCCAATTCACTGGGAAATAATATCGACGTTTATCTCTGACCTCTCATCGAAGAGTTACGGTCTTTATTCATTGACGGTGTGGAGACATATGATGCAGATAAATAGGAAACCTTCATAATGCGTGCAGCCTTAATGTGGCCAATTAACGATTTTTCTGCATATTAGAATGCTATCAGGATATTTTGTATATGGTTATAAAGCATATTGCCACGTGGATACAACATCGACATGATTGTCTTTTAGCAAAAAGATATGTTATTATGGTCATCGACGTATGTTGAAAGAAGACTATCACTATAGGGATGATGATGTTCACTTTGATGGTACTACAGAGCACCGAAAGGCTCCAGTCCCCTTATCTAGAGAGGATATACTTGCTCAATGGAATGATTATGAAAATGTGATTTTTGGAAAAGTAAAGACAGGAAAAGCCACAAATGATGGAATAAGAAAAGTATTTTTTTGAACTACCGTATTGGGAGACAAATACAGTGCGTCATAATTTGGACATCATGCACATTGAGAAGAGGGCGTCTGAGCACATACTTAACTTGCTCCTTTGTAAAGATGGAAAATCGAAAGATAACCTACAAGCTCGGAGGGATCTACAACACTTGAACATTAGAAAAGAGTTGCACCCTATACCTAAATCAAGTAAACTAGGAAAATTTGTACTCCCTAATGCCATTTATCATATGTCAAAACTAGAAAAGAAAATATTTTTGGAGGTGTTGCATGAGCTGAAGGTTCCTACAGGGTTTTCTAGATCATTTAATAAGAAGATAAAGACTGTAAAAGGCAAAATTAATGGGTTGAAGAGTCATGATCACCATGTTATTATGGAGCACCTTCTCCCACTATACCTTAGGGCTTCGCTTCATGAATCTATTGGTTTAGTGATCAATGAACTTTGCAGCTTTTTAGGGAATTGTGTGCTACAACCATCGAGGACAAGGAGTTGGAGAAGCTACAAGAAGCAATTCTCTTAATATTGTGCAAGCTTGAGCGGATTTTTCCACTATCATTTTTTAATATTATAATACACCTGACTGTTCATCTTGTAACCAAAGCAAGGCTTGCTGGATTGGTACAATATCGATGGAT